ATCCTTCAAAATACGGAGCCGAACAAGCGTCTTTAACGAGGGGATCCGGTACCATTGTATGGACTCATCCCACCACCAGTGACCGATCGGAAATTCTATCACCCTTGGATTAATCAAGGTCCTGTCATCCACGAACTACCTCAACCGGAATGCCGAGATTAGCACTCAGCCCCTAGCAGTAGGTTACGTAAACGAAGTCTTCGCGTTGGCAGAAGGGAAGCCAACCGGAGGTACTCTAATCGTTAGCTCCAGGAACAATGCTTGAACGAGAAGAGGGCTGTGTAATATGTACTAGTATGTTTATGTTGGCTCTTACAGGAACGAGGTGGGAAATCAATTTGAACGCCTTCTTAGGGTGACATCGGCTTTCCACCTCATCACTTTTCCCCTCACTTCCTTTCTTTCTGCACATGACACTAAAAAAAGCTCACTTAACTAATTCTTTCTCGAAGTTCGAGTTTCAGGGGCCTTAGAGTAGACAGGCAGGCGGAAAGCAGATCTGCCATTTGTAACGACTTCTCTCTTAGCATGTACCATTTCTTGCATGCACCTACGGTGTGGAGGAGTCGCATTTGCATCAGAGGCGTAAGAATCTCTAAGTTCTTTGTAGCGTTCCGAGGCTTTCCATAAGGTGGAAGAATGCATAAGGTTGAATGCATTTATTCCGAAGACGACAGGGCAAATGTCGCCTAGGTATGGCCCGAAGGAAGGTCAGCTCACATGTACAGGGACCATACAAATTCTAAACTGACTGCTAAACGCCATGTGGTCACATAAACAAAGCATTACATCCTTCACAACAGGTGGGTTGAGAATGATGCCTTCGGTTGACTCCACCTCGTCCCCATGTTCCGCAATAACTGAGGCTACATCTTCGTGAACCATGTGGAAAAGTTTCGTTCCGCAATTTCCCCTACTACATCCATGTATGTGTCGGAAATGGCACTACAGTTGTCCTTATGCACGAGACTGTGTCTGATCCCGTTTGTTCCTGTAATGCATCTGTTGGGTCAGAGGTGCACCGTCTAATCCTGGGGGCAATTGATGGTCAACAGACGTATGCTGCGCCACCGAACACAACTCCATGTCCAGTTGAAGCTGCTGTGGAGACCACGTACCGTTCCTCAGTCTCATGGTAGCTGTTGATTGGCACGACTGAATTGTGGGTGCTGTGATGGCTGAAGCGAGAAATTTACCAAGAGGAGCGTCGAGGACGGCATTCATATAGAGTGGGAGGCAGTGTAGTACTTCGCTACACATCCATACTCATTTTACAAAGGTAGTGCTAGCCCCTCATGATCAGCATTCCCTCTTCGACTGCACACTCAAAATAGGTGAAATCCGTATAAATCCGACACTTCCTGCCAGGTAAAAGAAGACATTAAGTTGGGCTTAATGCATACATTCTAAGAGGAATGGAGAAGTTTGAACCTTGGCCTGGCATGAAGCCCAGGCCATGCGTGCAGTGTTAAGATGAATACCAACGTAACCGCCAGACATCACGTAATCCCATAGGCAAACTCACAAATTTTACCGCAAAACTCTTACCCTGTTTATTTGACTAATCTCGACTGATTACACTACTTCTGAGCCAACAAATTGCTTTAATGCCCTCCTGTTCACCTGGTCACTCAAATCTACCACCACCACTACCCTCATCGCTGCCATCACCAGCATCGGCAGCTACATCCACTACTTCAGAGAATGGGAAAAATTTGTAACTCGGGCATTAATGCAAGGTGTGTAGCGTTCTGTAACTTTCCATTGGGTGGAACACTTGCTTTAAAGAGAATGGAAAAAAGACGTGAAGCTTTGGCATTCCGAAGGCCAGCCCACCCAACAGAAGCAAGGTGATCGCCAGAATAACCTCTACTCATAAAGCTAGTCGAATGAACAAAGTATTTTTAGGGTATTGCAGTAAATCAGATGATGAGAGTTATTGGCTACAGTAAGGCCCTTTCTGAACTGCCGCAGGTAACATTCGCAAATTTAGTTGAAGCATAAAGCAGGACATGTGATGTTTTGCAGATAAAGTAGTTGCCTTTTAGATACGTAACAAAACTTCTCGCCCCACTTTGGCTCCACCTAAAAATAATGAAGGTGTTTGCAACGTTTCACTAAAAAGTTGCCGCCAAAATTTTCGACAAACTGCTCAAGAATTAATATGACGGTTGTGTAACTTGAATGCATGGCTCCCGCATAAGGTTGCTGCATTGAAGCCAGCATACACAAATGGCAGTGGTTTAACGAAACTGAAAAGGAATAGTAAAAAGGAGGGTGACAGAAGTTAATGAATGAGCGAACGGCCTTAGTCCGTTATCCGCATGATGTGGTCTCTTACTCCTTCCTAGCCAGGTCACTTGTTTCTCTGCCTCAAACAAGTGATGTCCCTACTCACCTTTTTAACTACTGTGCTTAGCATAAAGTGAGCTCGTTGGAAAACGTTATTTACGCGATGCCTCGAGAGCAATGGCGACAGCCGCAACAACTGGAGTTGACAAGTTCTCCTATGTTGCCTACCGACCGATCAAACAACAAACCATGTCAAATATGTCTTTTATTCGATGTTTTGTGCAGTCCAAGAACAGTGCTTAGCCGACTATGCAAGTTGACGAAGGGGTGAGTCTTTGTGTTCACTACTTCTCAGCATTTGGGAAACCTTCACTTTCTACTATTGCTCGATCCAATTCTCCTCTTAACGACAAGTCCGCGAGACCCAACTACAAGCAAAAGAAGTGCGTCAGACCTTTCATCACTCGCTCAGAGTCAAGATGTCATAGAATTAATTCGCTTCACCAGGTGGAGGATTGGACGCTTTTAAAGGCCACATTCAAAAAATTACCCATTTTGCAATGGATGGAAAATAAAGAAGGTATAATAGGTCACTTGTGCGTTTGTCCAGCTAACACTGAAGTTCGACTCAACAGACGTCAGTGCCAATCACGAAACCTCTAAGCCACAATGAAGCGAATTAATATTTCATCCAACCCTTTTCACGTGCCCATCGCCAATTGGGCATTAGAGTAGCGTGCCAGAACATCATGTCGAGCGAAACCAACTGACGGCATTTAGGCCAAAACTCCGGCAAGGGCTCCTTACATAGGGTGGAGGCATTGATACGATAGAACGATAAGTTGACGTCCAGATAGTTTTGTGCCACCTGTTAGCCACATCCTCCCCGCCAGTCACATGCATCACATCAGAGGAAGGAGAAGGAATGGGGTCGCAACTCAACCACCTCCTGAGTATAGACAACAATGCTGAGCCGTACCATATGAACTGACTGAAGACACATTTCTGCTTGAGGACGCTTATTCGTCTTGAGACAGATCATTGCGAGGTAAGCCCATACGTCTGCATCACGTGTATTTAAACGATTGGACTCTTGGAGGGCCACCTCAGCCTCCTCCCATCTACTCATCTGTAAAGTATATAATGGGGCTCATGAGTAAGAGTGAGTTGATTACAAACACGTGGACGTACAACCGTGGTGAGGAAACTCACTCTGAAACAGGCCACTCCAACACCCTTCCAAGAAACTGGTGTTGGGTGCTCACTGCAACATCGCAGGTATTGCGCCTTACTCTTCTCGAACTAAAAGAGGGAGAGCAAGGGAGAGAGAGAGAGAAAAAAAGACGAACCATACGATCAGGTGAACTGGGAGGACTAGGAACTTACCTCCTTCATCTCAGCATAGCAACGAGCAAGTTGGAGTTGAATTCCACGATGCTGCTTACTCGACCACGTCTCCAGCTGCATAGCTCTCTCGAAGCATTCAACAGCTCCTTCCTTATTACCCTGCTGATAGCATAGCCTACCCATGCATGCCCAGTTGTCTACACACTCCGGCTGTGCTTGTAAGGCAGCCTTGAGATGCATCTGCGCTTGTAGAAGCCTCTTCTCCTCATCCCTTGACTGCATCATGTGACAAGCCACCAGACGATGGTAAGCACTAAGATCGTGCATGTAATCTCTGTACGCTTTGCTTGATCTAGTCACTCCATCCGGCAATTTGAGATCCTCCAACAAATCCTCCCCCGCTCTCACATCTCCCAACGTGCAGCGATATTGCTTAATGTGTAGCAGTAGGCGTGCCAACGTAACATCAGCAAGCTGAGGAGAAATGAGTGTTAGGAAGGATGCGCTCACTACTCACCGCACTTGCTTTTAATTCAAGAAGTCTGTCAATGGTGCCAATGAGGTCAGCACAATTCGCATACTCCGACTTTGCGTCCGCTTCCTCCTGATCCTCCCACTTAACTAATGAGGAAAGCACAGAATGCTAAAATTACTACCTTCAATTTCCATGCACCGAACTTTCCACCATCTTTGACTAACCTGCTTTGGAGGTGATGCTGTGTTGAGATTGGAGCTGGTTCGTGATGGTCAAAGTGCGCTCGAAGTTCCATGTGTTGTATAAGGACTCATAGAAAAGATCTGAATGGTAAAGGTGGTTTGAGTACGCACTTAAGATGATGCGGACAGTAGGATGAGAGGGTGCGATATCCGAAGCAGCCTCTAAGAGGCTTTTGGCTTCATCCAACTTCCCCATCTCGGTAAGGAGGGTTCCCACTTTCCACAGTCTAAGCATATGGGCAAACACATATGGCAATTACAATCTCATATTACAACAGTCAAATAGGCATGTAAAGGAGGGAAGAAGGGGGAGGGAAGTTAAAGGTTCTTACATTTCTACATCGTTGGGGGTCATCTCAAGACATCGCCTGAGGCACACAAGGGCCGCTTCGCGATTGTCCACTCGTGCGAAGAATGACCCAGCTGCAATCAGTGTCTCCTTCGATTTTGGATTCTGCGCCAGCATATGCTACAACAATAGTCAGCGCTTTACTGTTCCAGCGATTTTGTATCGAAATATGAGTAAGCACTCTTTTGCAAAAGGTGCCAAACCCAACTATTACGAAGAGGTGAAAACTGTTGCACCAACAGCACTAGCAGGTAGAAGCCTTAAAAACCAAATAAAGCTCGTAAAAATGAAACAGCAGCCAACTTCTGAGCTTTCTGCTACTTTAGTGCCATCCTAGATACGCGTACCTGGATGTAGTAGTTGGCCATCAAGGCATTGCCCAACGCCTCCGCCTCCTCTGCAAAGTAGCTCATGTCGGATTGCGTTAAGCCTCCAACAGATGGTGCATTCCTGCCCACATCTTTTCTTCTCCCTTCTCTTTCTCTTTCCACTACACTACTCAACACTCGTCTGCCCTCACCTATGAGGTAGACCTTGAGATCATCTAGAAAGTCCTGCATCGCATTGAAGGAGAGTCATGCAAGCCTCTCTGCCAGCAAAAAAGGCTAACACTTACCTGTATGCATTCTTGAAGCGAATGCTCAGTTACTTCACGAAACCACCTCCTCACATCACCAGCAATGGGGAAGCGCAGGTGACTCTGAAAGTCCAAATAGGTTTGCTCAAAGGCTCTAAATGAATTGTCTATGTTGTATGCTATCGCTATCTACCGTTCACTTGGTCCCCATTCGACCGGTCTAGAGGGTTCTGTTGTGATTCCAAGTCTCTCGAACGGTGGCCTTCAACATGACAAATTGGTCTGAGATAATGAAAAAA